ATAATCTATACCTAAGTTTATTTAATCAACATATAAACCACTACCAAAAGCCAAACATAGTTCCCATTTCAATTAGATATACTAACTCAAGAGAATCTTTAATGACCTTTGAATTTTCCCATCTTTTAAAACAGGGGTTGGCAAACTTTTTCTGACAAGAACCAGACAATAAATATTTTAGGCTTTTTGGGCCATACAATCTCTGTTGTAACTACTCAATTCAAAGTAGCCATAGATAATATGTAAAACATGAGGACAGCTATGTTCCAATAAAGCTTTATTGGTGAACACTGATATTTGAATTTCATATAATTTTCATAAATCATGAAATATTAGTTTCTGATTCTTTTCCCAACCATTTTAAAATACATAAACCATTCTTAGCTTGCAAGCTGTATAAAAACAGGCAGCAAGCTGGATTTGGACCATATGCTGTAGTTTGCCAACCACTGCTCCAAAATATACCTGGAAAAGACCAGTCACCTCAAAATTTCAAATCACTGCTTCCTAGAGACTTAAAGTGATTATTCACATCTTCATCAGTAACTTCTTTTAGATCAGCTGGTTTCCACTTTGGACTCTGGTCTTTATCAATTAAAACAGCTCTAATGCCTTCATGAAAGTCATGATCTCCCATACAAGCTTGACTTAGCCGATACTCCATAGTTAATACTTCCTGCAAGGTCTTTGAAGACCCCTCCATGAGTTGCCTTAGTGTGATCTTTAGAGAGGTTGGAGACATCTTATTAATTACCTTCAACTGCTCTAGGGCAAAAGATGAACCATCTTGCTGTAAGTTTTCAATAATCTGCTCCATGGTATTGGCTGAAAAACAACTGTTTATTTTGTCCATGTGTTCTTCAAGTATAAAAGACTTGTCTTTATCGATCTTGGACTCTGTATGGTAAGTTTCTAAGACATCTGCAATATTTTCTTTTGAAGGAGATTTCAAGGCTAACAAATCTTCCTCTAACATGCTCAACTCTTCAGAATCTACAAAGTGTGTAGCAATTCCTGCTCTGTACACATCTCTTCCTTTTAGTCTGAATCCTGTTAATGCAAGGAAGTAACCAAGTTTTCCTTGAAGTCTTGGCAAGAAATAACCTCCACCCACATCAGGAAATAATCCTATTGCTGTTTCTGGCATTGCAAAGAGAGTCTTTTCTGTAGCCACTCGGAATTGCCCATGAACTGAGAGACCAACTCCCCCACCCATTGTAATTCTATGAATAAGGGCCACATAAGGTTTCTGGCAAGAATCAATGGCACTGTTCAGCATATATTCTTCTCTGAAGAAATCTTGAGGCATCTTCTGTTTTGCCATTTTAGCTTCTGAGATCGCTCTGACATCACCCCCAGTACAGAAAGCCTTTCCTCCAGCTCCCTTTATAATGATCAGGAAAGTTTCAGGATCTTGTTCCCACCTCTTTAGCTGTGGATAAATCTGCCGAATCATATTAAGATGCAGTGCATTTAGGAACTTTGGCCTGTTAAGTGTTATCACTCCTGCACAACATTTTCGTTCCAATAGTACGTCTCCTTCTATATCCGTGTGCTTGGACATTCTCAGATGTTGCAGTATGATATTAGTCCTTTTGAATGCATTAAACCTCGCCATGAGCCTCCACACCTCCCGCCGCGCCACCGGCCAAAACACTCCGGAGCCAAAGCAGCAGAACCGACGCACCGGGATGGCTCCCCTGTCTCACGTCAGACCTGCCCACCACCGCCGGGCACAGATGACAAGTCCTGGAGCAGCCGAGGCGATACTCCTGGATCACTCCCCTCTCATGTCAGACCCGTCCACCGCCGCCGTACGCCGCCAGGCACCAATGACCAGGAGTGGCTTTTAAAATTCTGAGTATATGCTTATTGACCAGTCAAATGTAATTAATACAACTCACTGAACTGTTCATAGTCCAAGACAGTTATTAAACATTTCTTTATGTCATTTTACTAATCTGTAAAATGTAAATGATAATTTAATGTCAAAACTTGTAAAATGAATCATTAATAGTGATTAAAGGGAAAATTATAGATATATGTGCATCCATAATTCAGTACATTAGTAAAATTAAGGGCAAAATATAAATGATCATTTAAAAATATTTTTAAAAATCAATAAAATTTAAGATATGTTTATGATAAA